TCATATGTGATAATTGATCATGTTTAGTCATGTATGACATTATATGTGACCATATTTACTCGTACCTGATATAATTTATGATCACTGATCATGCTTTCTTATATGTGATATCATAGTTGATTATGTTTGCACATATGTGACATCACATGTGACCATATTTACTTATGCATAATATTATTTGTAAATATAGATATAATTATTTATATTTTATCATAGTTATCTTGTAGTTCCCCATATGTGATATTATATATGGCCACACATAAATAAAATTGAATTTATTATATATAAAAAAAGATCCAAAATCGTTTATTTGTATTTATACTTTGATCCAACGTAACTTGGTTGCAATTTTTTTCGGTTGCAAGAAACTAATTTCCTTTTGTTCGGAACCAATGAGAAATTATAGAGGAACGGTTGGTTTTATACTCATAGAGTTTTAGTGAATAGAAGCGTTACTTTCCACGGTTATTTAGCTTTTTGTAGCGGTCTTTGGTTCAGCGGATACAATTGCCTTGAAGACGCGTCGAATCGGCTTTTTACCAAGCCGCTTTTTCTCCAACTAACCTTTCAAGAGTTCCGTCTTGTTCTTGTATTGCGGGAAAAGATCCTCATTCACATCCGCGACCGTGGCTGCCAGGTGCCAGGTGAGAACTCAAGTACCTGAAAAATGTATAATAACTCCGATGAATACCCAGTTTGACTTTTATTTAAGATCTTCCATGAAGTCTTAATAACAGGCTCAGGGTGCATTCAAAAAACTTGTAAGTAAAAAAAAAAAATAATTTATTTTTTGTTTCAACCTAAATTACAAACAATACTCATTATTTATAATCATTCAAAAATATAAATTAATCTTTTTAATTTTAACATTAATTCAATTAATATTTGTTTTAAACAATTTACTTACAAATAATCAAAAATCTCGCAGAAAAAATACCCGCAATATTGTAAAAAGGGCACGCAGTAGCCTATCGGATCCGGCCCTTGCTTACCAAATCAATGGACCGGGTCCGAGTCCGGCGTACACCAACGAATATTTTCAATATTTTAGTGTATTATTCTGCTCAGCCCAAGAGGTAAAACGAGTTCCAATTCCAAAAGTTTACCCCCTACCGTAGTCGATCATGACCTTAGTAGTTTATGCGACTTTAAAAAAAAAAATGTTCGGGTATTTTTTCTGCAGATCTCTTGTTACGTTACCAATTAATCATACAATTATGGTTAGTAAAAGATCTACAATGTTTAAAATTACCAAAATTAAGATAAGTGATAGACAAAATTTGAATTCAAAGTTTTGAACAAAAATTTTTGTTCTGTATTTAATTGAAAAATCATCCTAGATGTTTTTTGGGATTTTTCAATTAAATGTTCCATATAAAAGCTCAAGCTTTATATTGTTGATTTATAAATTAGTTATTTAGTCTCATGAAATTAATCGATTGATTCTACGAGCGATAAAGTAACATTAATTTGTGTAATTGTGAGTAATATACACGAGACTATATAACCATATATTAATCAAATTTTTCACTTTTTTTCAGTGAGAAAATATTATACCACTAGGTGTCATCAGTTAGAAAGTTGCGCAGACAAATTGATCATTAAATTGAAGCTGTTTTTAAGATAAAATTGGGATGAAATGTACGCGAGAACCCTTATGATTGGTCGAATATATCAGAACATGGAAATATATGCAATTCTATACTAACATTCAGTTTAAAGGTATTTAACGAGTTTTGCTTCATAATCTCAATACTACTATATACATATTTACACAATTATGGATACTATTCAGCTCAATGTGACCCTTTAACATTAACAGATTATTTTTATATAGATTTTTTAATTTTTTCTTTTCTTAGATTTAGTTTTTAAAATTTGGAACTTCCCGATAAGAAAATCAAAGATTTTTTTTCTTAAAAGCTATTACACTCATTTCTTAATTGTTTGATCGCTAAGGTATAAATAAACATTTCCCTTTATATATGTGCACCGTTTAGTTATGTAAATGGTTTTTCTGAACAACACATAGACACGTAGTACACTTAATTTTTTGTTGTACAAATTTTAGTAAAAAATTTTATTTACAACAAACGTTTTTTACTCGCTATTAGATTTCTATTAAACCTATTTGAAAAAAAAAAATTATTTTTATATTATGAAAATATATTTTTAATGTTAATTAGTTGAAAAAATTTTATTAAGCCTAATTTAAGGCGAAAAACACGAATTATAGTAATTAAATTTCTAAAATTATAAAATAACTTGAAATTATCATCAAATGTAGAGAAATTATAGCTTATATTGAAGAAAATTGTGTAAATTTTTAAATAAATTCAACTGTAAAGTTTTTTACTACTGAAAAATTATGTACAGATAAAAGCTCTAAATAAATTAATTGATAAATTTTGTATTTAATTTCTGACATAAAATAAATTTAAATAATGAGTAAAATTTAATTTTAAGAGCTTAAATCTTGGAAGGAATTAACGAAATTTTTAATTTTAATTTATTATATAATATATTTAATCAATGATAATAAAAACGGAATTAGCCCAATATAATTTAAAGAAAAAAATAAAGAAACTGTATTTTTGTAAAAAAAATTTGTAAATCAATTTATTTTTTTTTTTTAATTAACTTTTTTATCCTAATGCTTTGAGATCTTTGTTATTAAATTAAATAATTAATCAAAGGTAAGAGGAGGTAAGATCTTAATATAACGCTAAGAAACTTTAATATTTAGTGAAATAAAATGTACAAAACCCCGCTAAATAATAAAATTCCTTAGCGTTTTATTAAGATCCTACATTTTCTCAACTTTGATTAATTTTTTTACTCATTTTAGAATTTTTTTAAGTTTTAAAATTTTTTAATCATTTGTTATTTTTGATAATAGGATCGAAATAAATTTTTTATCAGTTCATTTTTCAATTAGATCATGCGACCTTTTTACTTGTGTCTATTATGTGTTATTATATCTTTCTTCTGTCAAAATTATTACGCAATTTGCGCAAACTGCTTCTTTGTTAGCAAAAGTTTTTTTTGAGAACTTTGAGATTAAAACTCTATTTTTTTGGTCAAAAATATATATATATTTTTATGATTACAAATTCAATTTATCGGAAAAAAGTAGCCAAATTTAATTAGTGTTATTTTAAAACAATTGAGAATTAATTTACAAAAAAAAATGACCCAGAGAAAAAAATTGAGTTTTATTAAGAAATTTTCTGCTTATTTTAAGAAATAAAATTTTTTTTTTTGGAAAGTTTATCAAAAAAAAATTTTTCTTTAATTTGACAATTATAGTGTAATTTTTAAATAATTTAATTATCATTTTTTTTCGTAAAAGTACCTGTTTATTTAAAATTGGCACATAATTTTTCCATTTATTGATTTTATTATTTTAAACTGGTAATTTAGGTATTTTAAACGCATGACTTTATATTAGATTTATTGTCTAGTTGGAAGATATCAAGCCATATTTTATTGAAGAATTTAATACTTTTATTATTGTTGTCTGTTTTTTATTATCTTATTATTTTTATTATTAAAGCGTCTTCTGAATTTTTCAAATTTATTATTATTAAATATTGTTCTTTAGTTTTATTTTCTGGTACTTAAAAAACATCAAAAATAATCTGAAGCAAATTTTTTGAACCAAGAATTTTAACAATAAAAGTAGCTAAATACGTAAACTTTTGTCTTCTGTGCGTTAACGCGCGCGCGAAGCTTGCAATTTTAGCTTATAAAAAACAAAATTTGCAAGCGTCACGTGTCTATCGTGTGCGATAAGTGTGCGTGTAGTTGTCAATCTTCGCTTCTATTAATTTTATTATTTCTTTACTTAACAAACAGTAAAGCACATTAATGTCATTTGCAATTAATTTTTTATGTAGCGCAAAAAATTATGTAAAACACAATTTTTTGAACTGACCATTTACTAAGCTTCCGGAAGTGGTTTAATGCCCTTTCGAAATTTTTAAAGCTGCTGGAAGAAAAAATCGGGGTTTTTTTTTTTCCAAAAATTAATTAATTACTCAGCAAATTTTTCTCAATAATTAATTAATTTTTTTTCCACCCAATTAAGCAGCTTTTCCCTCATTTTTTTTAATTAAAAAAAAAACCACTTCTATTTTTAAAATTAAAAAAAATTTTTTTGATAACTGAAAATTTTTTTTTTTTTTGGTTTTTTTTTCATTGTTATTTTTTTTTATCAGCTTCACGACCGCGTCAGATTTAACTGACACAGTACGTACTCAGTTTTTCATTGGACTTTAATTACTTGATATGTTCTGTTAATTTTTTCCGACGTATTCTGCATCAAGTTTTTAAACAGCGACCTCTGTTAATTTAAAAATTTTCTATTTAATTTTAATCTGTTACTTTAATTATTATTAAAGCACCATTTTAATTTAAAAATAATATTTTAATAAAAATAAACAGGCACTTAGCGTGATAAAGTAACCTACAAAAGTGATGATCACAAAATGGCAGCCATCTTGTCGTCAAAACTCTTGCAATATTTCTTCTTCGCTAAGCGCCCGCAAAAATTACAATTATAGTTATTAATATTATTATTATTATAGTTATTTTTAGATTAACTTTTATAATTATTATACTTTCTTATGTTAATTAAAGATTTTTAATTTTCTCTACTTATATCACATCACATGCTCAAATATATATAATTAACCCCAGAGTTCATACTTTCACTCATTACAATTAAAAAAAAAGAAAAATAATACTAGTAATTTTTTTTTTTATAATTCATAGTAATTTTAATAAAATATATTAGTTTTAGCACCTGTTTTTTTTTTTTATTATTATAATTAGACGTAATTTTTAAGTATATTTATATATAATAATAATTTAATAATATTTTCCTGAGTTCAGTGAGATGTAAATGCGTAATATAAATCGAAAAAAATCAAAAATTATGTTCCAAAATATTTAATTGTTGTATTATTTAAATTATAGCGTTTTTATTAATATTTTAATTATTCTAGAGGCGTCTCCTGGTGTAATGAATTTTTAACGAGGTCAAATTTCCAAATGCGGTTCGGTCCTATTTCTGTTACGTAAAGTTCGGTAGCGTTTGGTGAAATTGCCATTGCGTGAGGTTGTGTGAACATCTGAAAATATTTTTATTATATTAATTAATTGTTCAAAAATATTTTTTTTTTGAGCGTCAAAAAATTTAATGAAAGACCCAATAATTAACAATTGCAATTTTATTTTAATTAAAATAAAAAAATATAATTTTTTAATTAGAATAAAATTACACGTGTCAAACAATTAGGCCAGTGTCTAATAATTGGGTCTTTTACATTATGTAGAAATTTTATTTATTAATTTCTAATCATTGCAAAAATATTATTTTTTAATTGAAATCTTTTTAATTTTTTTTTTTCAAATTTTCATTATTGAGAAAAAAAAATTAAATTAATTTTTTTATTAGCATATAAGTTTAGTAAAAAATTAAAATAAAAAATACAGCCGTAATATTTAAAATTAAAAATAAAAAATTAATTATTTAAAATAAATAATAATAATATTTACCCCTGATGTAGGGGCCCAATGTCCAAAAACAGTTTCACTGTTAGGATCCATAATAAACCCTCTGACCGGAATCATAGGTGAAGTAGGTCCATTTACTGCATAAAGAGTGTTACCTGTTACAGAAAAGAAAAAAAATGATAAATGAGGGCATTAATATTGTTTGCTTTAATGGTTTCAGGGTTTAACGCCTGCATTAAAGTCAGAAAGACTAAAATGAGCTAGATGGATGCAGGACTTGGAGTAAGATTAAGAATAATTGTATGCGTACCATGAGAAGCGACAGCAAAAACTCTGCCGAGATCAGGTGCATGAAGCGTTAAGGGTGGTCCGCGCTTATCTTGCTCGTTATCTGGTGGAAAACCTTCGCGGAGTGACATACAAATTACTCTCATGTTCTCACGATCTGCTACGCAGACGTCACCCTGCTCGAGGATTGTTAAGGCATGTGGTACTCGTAGAGCTACAAATTCTGTGATAATTCAGAAAAATTATTTATTCATTTATTTTATTAATTTTTATTTGTAATTGGAGTGTAAATTACCTCCAGGTCGCGGTATGATGTTAATAATATTTCCAAATGGGTCAAGAACAATAATTCTATTATTACAGTAGCCATCAGCTACTACAATTTCTCCGGTATTAGCAATAGCGACAGATGTTGGTTGGCAAAAATGATCATTGTCTGAGCCGGGGGTTAATGCTTCGCCTAAGATTAAATCGGGATTTGTTGAGCCGGGTGTGAACTATCAAAAAAATAAGAAATAATGATAATTATTTTTTTCTGATTTATTGAAAATAAAAAATTGGAATTTTTTAGGGTAGAAAAATATTTTTTTTTCTTTCTAGAAAAATTTTTAAAAGATAAGAAAGCTGAAATTTGGATAAAAAAAAAGCCATAAATAAGACCGGAGAAAGTAAAGGTTTTCTTATCTTTAATCTTTTTAACAAGGACTTTTTAGAAATTTTTGTCTAGTGAATCATTAAAGTACGGATGTATTACTTCAAAATACTGCAATTAAGATTTCGTAGATTTTTTTATAAAAAAAATTGTAGATTTTTTTAGAACTAAAATTTAAATAAATAAAAATTGAATTTTATATTTTATATTCATAAAATTTCGATAATAATTTGAAATAAGATTTGAGTGATCAAAACTTACTTTGAATACTTGATGCAGTGCAACGTCAGTCAACCACACATTACCGCGAGCATCGATGTGGAGTCCATGGGGTAAATAGAACATATTCGAGCCCCATGAACTCTCCACCGAGCCGCTTTTTGGGTTCAAAGTGAGGACAGTGTCTTGATTGATAGGTCCTTTGAATGTTTCGCGGAATTTAAACGTATCGTCGAAGCTCCTTAACAAATAATTAATAAAATCTTTCATTAGTAAACATATGACTTAATTAATCAAGTAAAATATGGTTTTAAAATAACGAAAAAAATTTTTTACTGAATTTATTAAAAATTTTTTTTGAAGAAAAAAAAATTAATAATTGTTATTATAAGTTATAATAAAAAATTTATCATTAATTAATTATAGATTTATAATCAAAAATTACCTACAAAAAATTAACTTTGATAAAAAAAATTAAAAATTAATAAAAAATATCTTACCCATAATCCCAAGTTCTGTCTGCACGGTGAAAAATGACAGGATTACCCGCAGGATCAACTCCAACTCCAGTGATTTGTCCCAGATCTTTCGGAGTTCGCCAGATGGAATTTTCGACAGGATACAACTGCTGGTTCTGATGACTGATCTTTCTTCCTTTATCCTGAAAAATAATCGCCAATATTTTATTAATACACTGAAAAAAAATTAACTTAAAAAATATTAACCCAAAAAAACAATATTAAAGATTTTAATTGTCTTAAAAAAAGATAAAAAATTTTTAAATCGAGTAAAATTTCTTAATTTAAGAATTTTTCTACTTAAAATTATTTTCTAGATCCAAATTAATTTTTTTCTGTGCATAGACACAATTAAAAAAAAATAATATTAAATTATTTAATATTTATTTATAAAATAAATAAATAATAAATAATAAAATGAAAAATCTTACAGTTATCAGGTCCAGTAGTTCATCGACGACATTCTCTGGCAGGAGCTCAGAATCGAGATACGGATTAATTACATAACCAGATGCCAGTCCAAGGAGCAGAAAAAGGCACCCCATAAAAGCGCTTTTTCCTTTCCTTGGGCTTGTTATCAGTAGCATTGTGTTATCAAATGAAAGTTCGCCAGCAACTGGTGACTAGTAACTGTTGAGGTGACAACTCCCAGGGTCTGATCAATGGGAGTCGGATCTTCTATGACGCAAATAGCTTTTATTAAAGGACTAGTCGATCAATAACGCACGCAGGCGCTCAATTACAAAGCTATCTTCTCCTTTTCTTCTTTCGTTGATTTATTGTTTAATTTTATTTAGACAGTTTTAATAAATGCGACTCAAGGAAGGAATTTTAAAAATTAATTTAATCACAAAATCAATTAATTATTAATTTATGGAGATGTATTTTTAATTTTTGGATATAAAATAATTATTTTCCGGGTGGTTTAATTAATTAATTAACGAGAAGATTTTAGTGGCGCAGACATTGCTCTCAAGAAGACTAAGATATCCATGGCGATCTTTTTCTTCTTAAGCTCAATGATTATCAAGAGAGGTAGTTTTTATTTTTATTAATTATTATAATTTTTATTAATAAAATTAATCAACTTACGAATTCACAGAAGAAAAAATAGTTGTTTAAATTTTTTTAAATAAATTAAAAGTTAAATTTTAGAAAAAAGTCACTAATTTTTTTGAAAAAAATAAAAATTAAATAAAAAAGGAAAGTTTTGAATAATTAATAAGAATTTAGTGTTAAATGTTGAAAATTAGAATTGAAATTTTAATTTAAACGAAATAAGAATTTAAAGAACTTAGAATGGCAGCTGGAGAACAAACTGCGCCATGGATTGTTCGTGACCAACTGCACTTGGTCCAGAATCAGATGCAGCCCACCAAGCCGTTGTTTCCTCCGCAAAATCGTGTCGCACTGGTTTAATCGATACTTGCGCGCAGGAGCATTCCGCCTCAATATTTTATCCTACTTTTTCTTCATTTTTTTTACTATTAATATTGTTGATTAATAATTAAATTAATATTAAATTAAAATAAGGCTTTGAGCTTTGAGGCTAAATAGAGAATTTTTTAGGGTGAAAATAAGAATTGGGGTAGTAGAAGAGGCAATTATTTAATTAGGGTATGTGTGAAAGGTAGAAGGGCAAAAAGCACTCGGTCACATTATTTGGTGCACTTGGCTCACGTCCAGGTCTTTTCAAGGACATTGAGGCGATCAATAGAGCTCTTAAGATCTAGAAATAGCTTTTGTGTCCCTGCTGTTTTTTCGGGGGTTTGATTTATTTATTAAGGTTAATTCTTGATGATTTTTTTTTTAATTAAACTTTTGAAAATTATTTATTTATTAGAAAGTTATGCCGAGGCCTCATAAGCCGAATGGCAAATTCATAACATTATATATTCACATTTATAATAGTATTATTTAATAAATAAATTGACATTTTTAGAATTTAGAATTTAAGTAGCATATCGACGGTCTAATTAGCAATTGGTCTTCCTTATTTTTTTAGAGGATAATTTCTTAACTTTTTGATACAGCAATAGTTCAATTATAAATTATTTGAATGATACAAACCAAAATATGATACCTCTATTAGATATTAATAATATTAAATTATTTTTTAAAGTGATATTAAATTTTGAATCAATTGTTTTTTCGTACAAATGGAAGATTCTCTAAAAAATTACAGAAATGACAAGAAATAAAAATAGTCTCAAGACAAAAATCGTAAAATAAAATCAGAATTAAATTACTGTTTTCTGTCAATCTCACATAACATAAAATAGTCGAATACTTTACTTTTAAAAATGCTTAAACTCTGGGAATTTATAATGTTCTGTCCAGAGTCGAATTAATAAGATTTTTATGATAAAAATTAATAATGAAATTTTTTTTTTTAATTAAAAAAATTAAATTGTAAAATATAATCAGATCATTTTTAATGCTTTAAATAGTAATTTTTTATATTCTTAAAATTTTTTATTGCTAGTAAATTTTAAAATTATATTTTTTGTTATATTAATAATAAATTATACACTGTAAAAAATTTTTGTAAATAGAGTGACATTTTAGAAGAGAAAAAATTGATGTTAAAATTAATTATTGAAGTCACAAAAAATAATAATTAATAAAATTTCTAAAATTATATTTGATTATTAAAAAATTTTATATCTTAATTTACTACAGAATTTAATTATTGTTTTTTTTAAGCTTAAGTTATCGTAAAAATTTTTTATAATTAAGTTATAAGTAGTATACTTCGTTAATTACTTAATATTAATAAAAATAATTGACTATTACAAAAAAATAAATATTGAAAAAGGATTTTTAAAGAAATAAATAAATAATTTTCGATGAATTTTTATTTAACTCTTACATTTGTATAATTAACAATAAATATAACTCGACGAGTAAATAATTAATTTTATTATCATTTATTACATAACAATAGACGATTTAATAAATATTTAACATGCTGAATTTTCGAAGAAATCACAGGCAGTGTACGTTAAAAATTCGTACTTGTAAGCATTTTTAAAACAATAATAATAATTAATGATCAAGTATTTAAATATTGTTCAAGTTTGAAAGACAGGGCAGTTGACAGTAATTAGTAAACGGCGTATAATTTTGTAGCTTTTGATTTTTGAACGATGCATATAATATATTATATTATAAAATATTTTATTTTTCGGCCTCGGTCGCGAGAGACATTTCGGGCTGGGTCCAGATGTACCCGGTACGTGTTATGCTGCAATGAGCGTCATAATATTTTCCTGGTGCTCGGCAGTAAGACCATCTAGGACAGCGACACCGGAATTTGCTATGAAACTCTTCTTTGCATACTTCGTTCCACCAACATGTTCTCTAGATATAAATATTCATATAAATTATTCTTATTTATTAGAATAAGCAATCAATAATCATTATTTGTTTATTTTTTCTTGTCATAACATTTCTTCTACTTTATGGAAATTAAATTCAAATTGAAACACTGAATAAAATCTTTTACCTAAGAGAAATAATTTTTTTTAAATAAAAAGTTGTTTGCATAAAAATTTTAATAACTACTCTAAAATTTAAGTAAAAGCAAGAAATTAATTAGGAGGTATTGAAAACATTTTCATATATTTTATATATTTATATATTTATATAAATATATATATATATATATAAAATATATAAATATATGAAAAATTGATGTGGGTACTCAAATGAAAGGTCTCGATGAGTGTAACATCGGGATGAGTTTATATCTTTAAAAATGTCATTAGTTGACAAGATATAATGTCATTTTTTAATTATTGACATTTTTTAAGATATAAACTCATTTTAATGTTATACTCATCGAGATCTTTCATTTAAGTACCTACATGGTATTTTTTATATATTTTATATATATGGTCTTTGTGAAATATATAAATATATGAAATATATGCAAAATTGATGTGGGTACTCAAATGAAAGGTCTCGATGAGTGTAACATGGGGATGAGTTTATATCTTAAAAAATGTTAATAGTTCACTTCTTAATTATCAATCTAGAGATAGAGCATTTTTGAATGCAGCCTGAATACTTATCATAGTAAATTGACTATCGGTAAGAATGATATGAAACCTTGAAAAGACACAAATTCAAGTCAAGACCTTTGCAATGACACCTAAATAAAACCGATTTTATCTTATGACTTATGACTATCCTGGACATAAAATTTTTGTTATTCTCTTAATAATATAAATAATTACTTCTGCTAAATATCCTTTGACACTCTGATCGCTGTAATTTCTTTTCGTAATAGTATGCCGTGATTTTATCGAATTAACGGCTAGTAGTAAAACAAATAAGAGCAGTAATTGTCTGGGTAGTGCATCCTGGAACAAAAAAATCGAATTTATATATAGGTACGAATTGGAGATAATAGATAATGAGTTATAAATAATAAGCAAAAATATATTGATTAATATATATAATACATATTATATCACTTACTCTATCCGCCATACCTAATCCTTTATAGCGCAAACTCCTTGTCCTTGTGCGATAACATTTGTTATCCAGCTCTCACATTAAACCCACCTGACAAATAATCTCTGGTATTTGTACTTCCAATATATATGCTCAAAAAATGCACTATATACTGCACCGAATGTTTTCCACTCTTGTTTTTAGATTTTTTTTCTCTATAAATCTTCTCACAGCTAAACTGCGTTGGATTATTTATATCGGGAGAAAAGTTTAAAGTCTCACGAAAAAGTCGAAGGATACGGGCATGCGTATTGATATTCATATTAATATTTATATTCATATATTCATAATCGACAATTTTTAATTATCTTGTATGATATTTATGCCTTGAAATTTTTTTAGAATATGCATTAATAATTATGATATTGAAATTAGTGGACACCTGTTCAATTTTTGTTCTTATTTAAATTATAAATAAATAAAAAAAAATTTTTTAATTTCTTCATGTCGAAATTTTAATATTTTTTTTTTTTTAATTAAAAAAATTGTTTAATTCAGAGATTTTATTTTAAAATCCAGTTTTAAAATAATGTTAATTATTATTATTAATTTTTACACTTATAAAATTAATTAATTAATTAAAAAATTGATAATTAAAAATTATAAAATAAAATAAAAATATTCAAATTTCCCGCCAATTCAAAAATTTAAATTTTCTCACTTTCGCGCCTAAAAAGTTTGGCGCGCAAATCGCTATATCTGCGCCTGCGCACCATACGACCTTCAGTTGCGACGCAACAGCAGTAACAGCAACAATGGCTACTTCTGTTATTCTTCGCTACGGTTTACATATTGAAAGAAAAATGAATTCCGTAGCACTTTTAAAAAATTGTATCACCAAATTAGCGGGCTGCGAGTAAGTGCTACGACAAAATCACTTTGATAAATAAATCAATGTCATTTTTTTTTATCTCACTTTTTTATTTTATTATTTTACAATTATAACCTAACTTACGTAAGTTTTTACAGATTTATTTACAATTTCATTGATAAATTCTAGATTGACATTAAAGAACTGTCAAAATATGACGATAATTATTTTTTTTTAAATAAATATTCATGATATTACATTCTTAAATTTTTTATAATTATACATTATTAAAATCAAAATCAGTTGCTCTTTTTAGACAACTAAAAATTATTTTTAATTTACTTTTACAATTTTTGTATTTTTTTTTTAAATTATTTTCAAGACGCTGAAGTTAACTAACATTAGACATTTTTTTAGAATTTTTTTTTATTAAAAATAATATTACAAGAAAATTCAATTTTAAAAAACTTTAAAAACTATAAGTGTAATTTTTTAAAAAATATTATTTAATACTAATTTAGTAATTAAAAAATAACTCAAAAAATTATAATAGTAAAGTTAGCCAACATTGTTAATTTTTTGAGTTATATTTTAATTATTAAATTAGAATTAAATAATATTTTTTTAAAAATTGCACTTACAGTTTTTAAAGTTTTTTAAAATTGAATTTTTTTTTTTTAATTTTTTTAATAAAAAAAAAATCTAAAAATTTTAGATGTCGGCTAACTTCATTTTCATAAAAAATTAACAATGTCGGCTAACTTTACTATTATGGCTAATTTAAGTATGATTTTCAGTTATTATATTTTTTAAGAAAATAATTAAATTATTACTACGAATATTATAGTATTACTATTTAATTTTTACTATTAATATTAAATTTATACTACAAAATTTATATTTTCCAGGTGTACAAGAGCTCTATCACTGAGTAGCGTAAAATTAGCTGATGAAGTAAAACAACCAGCTCACATACCCCATGACACCCACAACTTAATGACAAGCCCAGAAGCCGAGGAAGTCAGAATGGCTAACCGTCGTCAGCTGATAACTATCGACGAGCCAGACGATGTTGCAGTTTTGTCGGGAGTCCCAGAAGAGCACATAAAAACTCGTACGGTTAGAATCTACATGCCTGCCAAGAATGCGATGCAGTCTGGTACTAACAACATCAACTACTGGCAGATTGACTTCGACACCCGAGAACGCTGGGAGAACACTTTGATGGGCTGGTCGTCAACGTGAGTTTTTATTTTATTTTATTTTTTTTTTTTAATTATTTACGATACTAAAATCAGCTAGCTGACAATTTTTATAGCAAATAAATTTAATAAAAATATTCTTTATAGTAATTTAATTATTGTAGAATTAAATGTTAAAAAATTATTTTAAAATTAATTATTCTAAAAATCTAAATTATTATCAGATGTTAGTTGATTTTAGTCTCGATTATTTACACCGTAAAAAATTACAAAATATTTTTTACTGTGTACTTATTAATAAAAATTAGGAAATAAAATCGCATGATTATAAATAAATAAATGAATAAATAAATAAATTGATTGATCAGTGGAGATCCAATGTCAAACTTGAAAGTAGATTTCGCCTCGGTAGAGGAAGCCATAGACCATTGTAAAAAAATGAAGTGGGACTACTTTGTTCAAAAGCCAAATGTTGATGATCCAAAGCCTCGCTCGTACGGCGCCAACTTTTCGTGGGACAAACGTACACGGGTAACTACTAAGTGAAGGATAGGAGTCAGGTTCTGAGTTTGTTAATGTAATTATATTAAAATATTAATAAGGAGAATAATAAATCGTAGTGTACTGGTTAATAAATAATGTCTATTAAGTATTTATAATAACCGTAATAGTACTTTGCCTGTGGAGGAAAACTTTTTGTCAATTAATTATTCAGGACTAGGTACTTAGTTAGGAGTCGGATCAACGGAAGCTGCTTTGGAACAGTGATTTATTGTTTGATAGCTTGCTATATTATAGTTTCATTACTGGTAAGTTAAGACTTACAGGTAGGTTTTTCATTTGAGCTTAGAGTGTCTGTGTCTCTGGTGACTGTTAATAATTTGGTGAGCTATTATGTTATTAATTTTTAATAGGATCGAATTATGTGGTTGAAATTTTTTTTTTGTCTTAGTCCTCATTCCCACTTTTGTTGTTTTAATTAAAAATTATTAGTTTCCGAATTAGATTTTTTTTAATATGAAATTTTAATTTTTTTGTTGAAGTTCTCTAGATATTTATTTTTAATTTAGAATTAAAAAATTATTTATAAATATTAATATATGTTTCATAAAAAAAAAGGGTTTTATTCTCTCAAGGGTTGAATTTTTTGTTGACTTATTTTTTTGAGCTTAAAAATTGCTTCTATTTGTTTTTTTTTTTACTTTATAAATTCAAGAAAACTCAAATTTAAATCCAACTTTTAATAAAAAATAAATTAATAATTTTTTTTCCGGATTTTTATTCAGTCAAACATTTTTTGAAATAACTAACGACATCTAAAGCTTGTCGCATGAATTATTTAAAATAAATTTAGCGCGAAATTCAGATTTTTAATTGCTAAAAAAATAAAATTGAGTATTTAAAGTTTTATTTCAAAACTTTAAATTAAAAGTAAAAGAAGAAAAAGCAAAATTTTTCATTCTTTTATTTATTTATTCATTATTTTTTTTTATAATATATTAAATAATAACTATGAGATAACAATGAACGGATGAAGATGACAATGAATATCCATAACTAATTATCCTTAAAATTTAATAAAGAAAACCATTAAGCAAAGACGACATTATCTTTTTTCTAGATCAATAAATCTCATCAATCTCATTTATATATTTTTCATTATAATATTAATAATAATCATCATTAATAATTACATAATAATATTTTCGCATCGAAGTTGCACTCTTACACAATTATTAAAGTATAAGTACAGTGATTCATTAATATTAATATTAATATTAACTACTGCGCATAGTATTGCTGATTTATTTATTTATTTATTATTCGTTTCTCAAAACACCAAAATTTTATTTTTAAATAAAAATGTGACAAGAAGCTGAATCACAAATAAACCAAAAAAGCAAAACAATAATAATAATTAGTAATAGTCCGCTAACAACAAATTATGTTTTTGTTTCCTTTAAATCCATCGGATTTATTTATCACGCGAATCACAGACAAACTTGTGCATTCACTCGCCATCAACAATAACAAGGACAATATATATATTTTTTTTATACATATATATTATGTTCATTTCAGTATTTCATAGTATATTGTATCTAATATTTAATAATTAAATATGTTTATCATTTATTTATATCAGTAATTAATTAATCAATCCATTAAACTAATTTTTTTATTTATTTAATCATTCATTTTTTTGTTTTTGAGGATTTTATTAGAGGAAGGCTTGTAGAATGCACGTTTTTTCTGTCCGTTAACCGATTGAGTATTAAATATATATCACAAGCCAACAAGAATCATTATTTATTTACTTTAATAGTTTATCTACACATGCTTGAGCTAATTCTTTTATTACAAATTGTGCATGCACAATTTTAATCGTATGTACACAAATTTGATGAATTTAAATTATCTAGATTAAAAAAAAAAAAAAAAAAAATTGTGATACATTTTAACCGAGCTGGGAATCGAACCCCAGCCGCCCGCGATAGAAAACTTACGGCTGTCGCGCGTCGCCATCTCACTTAAGAGGAAGCAAACAAAACGGACTAAAAAAAAAATATGAGATTAATTCGCGCACTGTTGTACGTTTTGTTAACATATATATTTATTAGTGACAGAAAAAAACAGCGTGTTACAAATATTTAAAACACTCTCACGATGACGACCAAGTGTTTATTAGTTAATAATATTAAAACATTAAAGTATAATAAAACTAATCGTCACCTCATTTTTACAATAATTTAACTCACTCGTTTATTATTTTTATTTTATTAATAATAATTAATAATTAATACCCTTATTTATTTAGTTAACTATTACGTTAAATACTTAATTACCAAATTTGAGTCCCGCTTAATACGGTTTATTTAAATAATTTCATTTAAATAATAATCCCACTGTCATTCGCTTTTTGACTGCATTTTTATACGGATCGCTAATTAAATATTTTTAATAATTAGCGGATGAATTTAAAAATATTTTTTAAAAGGCTACTTATTATTTAATTAATTAATTAATTATTAATTATATATATATTTATATATAAAGGTTAATTAATATTATTGAAGACATTAATTAACGCCACACTTTTACATCCACTAACGTATTACATAGGCCATTGATTGTAGATCGCGATGTACTGGGTGATTACGTTTTATCAAATAATATTTTTTAATAATAGTAATTATTTCCTTTATTTAGTTTTCTAGACGTTAATCCACCCGATACATTGGTCTTATATATTATTAATTTTAATTTACACTTCGAGCGATTAATATTGTCAATGACGATTTTTTTTATCAAGGGAACTGTGTTACTCGTGGGAGCAAAAAAGTGTTCAAAAAGAGAAATGATTTTTAAATAATTTTTTTTTTAGTATAATGTGTGTATATATTTATAGTTATGTATATTTTTATATATACTTAAGGCTGACTAGTTTAGTCATGTTCTACTAGCTCGATAGAAAAGCTCAGAGTTTTATTATTTATTTATTTATTTATTTATTCATTAGTAGAGTTCCCTTGATTACAAGCGAAATATAAATGCGCCGATTGTTTTTTTATTTTTTTTTTCTTTTGTAAAGGCCAACTATTTTAATTAAAAATAATTGGAGGTTTAAATTATATTTTTAGATAATGATAAAACTTTATAAAAGAATTTTTCAATAGCAAATTAGGGAAAATTTTTTTCATTATCTCTCTTGTTATTTTTTCATTTAAAAATTTATAAATTCTATAGAATTAAATTATAATTACTTTTTTTTTCTTAATTATAAAAGTGACTAGAAAATTTTTTAATAGAATTTAGGTTATTTAACTTGACCGGGATTTGAATTTGGACTCTATAAATTTAAAATTAAGTAGAGTAAAAGACCCCTTTGCACAGAAAAAAAGGTTCACTTGAGCTAAGAAAATATTTTCCTTCCTAATTATTTTCTTAAACGAAAAAAAAATTTTTTTTTGACGATTAATTTCACTTATTCCAACAAAATTAATTCTTTTGCTTTAAGAAATAAGTATCTTGATCCAAGAAAATTTATTTAAGTCAAGAAAATCTTGTTTCAAGAAAATTCAGCCTCTTGCTCCAAAAAATTTAGTTTTTGATAAAAGTAAATTTTCTTGCCTTGAGAAAATTTCTCTCTTGCTCCAAAAAATGAAATATAAAGATAGAAGTAAATTTTCATTAATATTTTTATTGATCAACATGTCAAATGGGAAGATCAAATAATATTTCATCATTTTTTTTCATTTAATATGTATAATTGCACGCTAAAATAATATAAAATGGGCATCAAATATTCAAGAGAAAAATTTTCTCAATATATTATTTCTAATCTTTTAGATCTTTTGGTCAAAAAAATTTATGACCCTGAAGTTAATAGATGTCTAAAAATTTTTGATTTTTTTTTTTAATTAAATTACAACTAAAAAGACATTTCTAAAAAATTTTACTTATAATTTTTCAATTTTTTTGCATGTGAGATTTTTTTTTGTTAAATTAAAATTTTTTCAATAAAAAATTTTTAAAATGTCGGCTAACTTCATTTTCATAAAAATTTTTAATTTTTATTCCAAGTAGAACATTTTTTAATTTAAAGAAAAATTGCCACTAATAGGGTCTTTTACCTTATTAAAAAAAATGATTAATTTTAATTAGTTTTATTATTAAAAAAAAAAAAAAAAAAAAAAAAAAAAAAAAAAAAAAAAACAATTCCATTAAAATAATAAAATGAATAAACAAGATCAATATGAAATTTAAAATACGAGCGATTAATTATAATAAAATATTTGTGCAATGAATCAAATAACGCGGTGCTTTCGATAATTTCAACTGTAATAATTATTATCATATATATATATATGTATATCATAATATCAATAACAATATTTATAATAATAAATATAAATAATTGTTATTAATAATTTTCACGTCTTCGTTGATATGCTATACAGATACATCTAAAAACTCAATAATTCCCTTAATTTATTATTATTATTATTAATCTATTTTTTAGATTGCCCTGCTTAATTTTAACGTATAGCATATACGCTTAATTAAATGAACTAAATTAATCAATGAACAAAACTTATGTACAGAAAAACCAATACACTAAATCCGTATCATAATCTTAAATCAATTAACTCATTTAATAATTAATTATTAATCATTAATTATTAAATATGTATAATATATGTATGTATATATATGTATATATGTATACGTATTTTAAGTAGTAATTCAAAGCTCATTGTGTGTGATAGTAAGATTTCAAGAACCGTCTGCCTGAGAATTTGTTGTTAATACACTTCAGAAACGTGTCACGTACAAAATTTAAACTGACATTATTTTTAAATAAACATTTATTTCTACTTTTAATAATTAATTAATATTAATATTTGGATATCAGTAAAATAGATATAGTGAAGATAATATAATAAATTTTTTAAATTAGTAAAAGATCAAGCAAGTCGAAAAGATTTTTTTTAGATTTTTTAAAACTTTTTTATAAAGAGAAAGTTTTGTATTCGCTTTGGAAA